GCAGGTAACTCTAGAGGATCCCCGTGAAGCCAGAAGACGGACCTGCGGCTACGGGAGTGGTGGAGGGGGTGGTTAGCGCCATCCTAGAACGGATCTCGGAGCGGGTGGAAGGGGAAGCGGAGGAGGGGATGAGGACGCGCCTGTGCCACGCCATGCAGGGACAGGGAGTGTTTGTGTGCTTTTGTTGTGCAGCTCCTGTGGTCCGTGAGAAGAGGAGGCAAGGAGACGGGTTGGCGGCGAGGGGGGAGCGACCACCGCAACGGGCGAGCACATCCCGAGCCGGGGGTACGGCTGTGGATCGGCCTCCCCCGGCGCGGATCTTGCCAAAAAGAGCACGGGGCAGCCCGGAGAGGTTCGTGCCGGCAGCAGACAGGGCAAGACAACGGGAGAAGGCAATCCGAGAGGCCGAGATGGATCGAGCGGCCGCGGCGGCGGGCGAGAAGGCGGTCCTGTCGGAACTTAGGGCGATCGGTCTGTCGCTCGCGGCCAGCACCGGCGTTCTCAGGCCAGTGCAAACACGGGAAGTGCGGAGCCTGGCAAGACGACTGGTTGGCTCGACGGACCTTCTTGGGCAGGTTTTCCGGTGGGAGGGGGAGGACTACCTCGTCAACGACATTGCACCGGGACCGACACAGTCGGGGGGGCAGGCGATGAAGGCGTACGCCTGCTGTGTGAAGAGGCGGGTGGCATCGGCGGGCCCGCTATCCGAACGCAACTCGGCCTTTGATATCCGGTCAGTGTGGGACCGAATTGAGAGGGACCGAGCGAGGGGGGAGGCGACGCGACTGCTGCGCAGTCTACGGCCTGATGCGGAGCGGGGGAGGGGAGAGGAGCCGTCGGCGAATCCGGGCCCTGTCCCCCCCCCCTCCCGGGGGGAGACGAGAGCTAGGCCCCCCCCCACGACCCCCGCCGCTGGAGCGACCGCTGGGTCGAGGAGCCGCCCCTGAGGGTCCACACCAGGCGGTGCGGCCGCCAGTGCCGCCATCGTTTCCGCCACCCGCACTGCCACTTCCGCCCCCGCCACTGGAACGGTTGCAGGGTCGTGGGGCCGCCCCAGCGGCTCCGCACCAGGCGTTTGGGCCGCGAGGGCCCACCGTACCCGCCGCCCCTGCCACCGCCTCCACCCCCGCCGCCGACGGGGCCGCCACCGTATGGACCCGCTCGGAATAACCTCCCACGAGTCCTCCCAATCTCCCTCCCAGTTGCATAGGTATTCCCACCCCGTCTCCTCTCCCTCCTCGCCACCGAAGCACCTGGGCGCCCTCCTCGCCGCTGTAATCGAAGCCACATTCCAGCTACCCGCTCTCCATGCCTCTACCTGATTCGCATTGTTTTCTCCCACCGAGCCCGTTATTTCTT